GCGCAGTGGCGTCCACCAGGGATCGGCATTAGGGCCGCTACATTTCATCGTCTATATCAACAATCTGCCCCAAGAATTGGTAGGGCCGTGTTTTGTGTTTGCGGATGATGTTGAGCTAGTTGGGGACCCCACCTCAGCGCAAACGCAACAAGACCCAGATCATCTGCAGAAGTGGGCGATGGAATGGGAGCTTCCACTGAACCCCAATAAGGGCAGAAAGCATCTTTTCCAGGGAGGCCAGCCACCATCAACTAATAGGCTACTGAACCTGGATAACCCTCAGGAAATAACCCAAGCAAGGCAGATGAGGGATCTGGGAGTGCTCATACACGAGACATGCAAACCAGCCAAGCAGTGCCTCCTAGCGACGATAAAATCAAACAGAGCGTTACACCAGTTCCAGAGAACTGTGGCCTCAAGAGACAGATTGGTCCTTCTCCCGCTTTACAAAGCGTCTGTGAGGCCGCAATTAGAGTACTGCGTGCAAGCCTGGACGTCATCCCTAGTGAAGGACTCGGTGATACTAGAGAACGTAAAAAGGAGGTTCAAAAGGCGAATCAGGGGATGGAAGGGTTGGACTACCACGGCAGCCTAAGAGAACTTAATCTGTTCTCTTCAATCGGAGGATGATTAAGGGGGACCACATAGAGGCTTTCAAGCAACTAAAGGGTCTATCCAGTACGGGGATGCAGCTGCTATCCAGGAATAATAACATCGCACTGCGAGGAAACGAAATGTAGCTTGAAAAACTGAGAGCACTAAGGAGCATCAGGGAAAATTTCTTCGCTCATAGGATTGTAAATCCTTGGAACAAGTTACCAGTCTCGGTTGTTTGATCAGCCTCAGTTTGGGAGTTTATGGGTCGTCTAGATGCAACGTGGACGGAACTTTTTCCGGAAACTGCATAAAAGAGACCAAACGGGACAAATGGTGTAGGCATGTATGCATGTCGGTTTGTATACACTGGAAAAGACCTGAATGTCCCTGGTGGATAGACAGTAGACAGCTCAGTGTGCGGAAACCACAAAAGCACTATTATACAGGGTGGGCGGGCAATCGGGCTCAGGCAAACACATGCTCAGGGTCAGTACTTCAGTACAGGTGGAATAAATAATCTAGAAATATGGCTTTGGGGAGGATGAATGAGGCTGTTACACGTTTTCACCATTCTCCCTTGTCTTCTGCACCATAGGATTTTTTCTCTTCTTCCTCTATTTCATCAAG